TGGGGCGGCAGGTGGTCTGGCAGCAGACTGGGCGGCAGCAGCTGGACACTCCACAGCTGGACACTCCACAGCTGGGGCGGCAGGTGGTTTGGCAGCAGCTGGACACTCCACAGCTGGGGCGGCAGGTGGTCTGGCAGCAAACTGGGCGACAGCAAGTGGTCTGGCAGCAGCTCTCCTGGCAGGGACTTTGATCACAGCCCTGCTCAGAGCAGACAGAGCCACAACAGGAGTTAACCATGGTGTCAGAGGAGGAGGTTCTGAGTGGGTTTTGAAGAGAGTGAGTTTCTCAAATATGTGAGTCTCCTTAGTCCCTGTCCTCTTTTATACCCTGATGCTGTTACCAGGTTAAAGGTCATTTCCTTGTTATTGTTTCTCTTAATATATAAACAGTTACAAAATTAGTTAATTGTGGAAGACTCTATGCAAAAGTTAAATGGAATGTATTCTTCTTTCTCAGGGTCAGGGTTTATCAAATCAGTCTTTCCTCTTTAGTCACCTCTTCTGTGACTTATGTGTACCCTTAGTCACCTCTTCTGTGACTTATGTGTACCATCAAATTTCAAAAATCCCTATTCTGACTCAGCTGATTGATAGTCATGAGATGACGTAGCATACAAAATCCAAAATTCCATGTGTCATCACGAGGCCTCATACCAGTCCCATAGTGGGTCTGGGTTTCTTATGTCCTAAAGACTCTTGAAAAGTAACTCTAAAAGTACCAGAAGAAAGCTTGAATTTTGAAGTTTGGATTAAGATAATGTGAAGATAAAATGAATTTGTGACATGGGCATGAGACCATCCCGTGTTGATATTTCTCAAGAAGGGAATTCAGAATGTCAACAAATGTGGGAAGGAATACTGGAATGCCTGGGATGTTCCTCAATTTCTAGAGAATAGTTGGATAAATGATGTTCACATAGCTCAGATGTTTTTATGAAGACAAGTAACATTGTTGCATTTTATACAACCTTGAAGATGCTCGGCTGTGAAGCAGGCTTCTCTGCTGAACTGTAAACTCATAACTGTGTTATTGTACTGTACTGCTTGCATTATTTAATTGTACTATACCATTGATTTGTATTAATAAAAAGGAGCTGTAATAATAAAAAATTTGAGACTTTTTGTGCAAATTGCATTCAAGTCCTTAGTTGCCTTGACGGCATTTCTTGGTAATGCTGTCTAATTTCATTGTATTAGGGTAGAAGAAAAACTGCATGTTATTCCTACTGTTGAGATCTTCATTTTAGTCCAATGTCATTTATATAATGTCTAAATAGATAGGAAATGCAATTTGTTAAGCATAAGATGGGATTGATGGTAGATAAATAGATACTGCACCTAAGTTGATAGTGATTTTATTTAAATTTCCTGTATCTGTATTCTTTATCTTGAAATGATCATTTGTGAAAAACTTTATGAAAGTCTGAGTCTAGGTTGCCATTTTATTATTTTTTCCCATGTACTTATGATAGTTATTTTGAAGATAAGCTAAGTGCTTATGAAAACAGGAGAGCTGACCTTTTGGAAATGTGAAAATGTATTGCAAGGAAGTCATTACCAAGGTCAAGGCAGGTACATGGGTGCTGATTTGATCTAACTGAACCAAATGTCATGGTCACTTATTTCTTTGGAAAGAACCAGCCCTCCCTGCGCAAAGGAAGAAAAAGGATATGGGGAAATAACTCTTCCACCTTTGGGGTAATAATTTATTTTATTAAAATATAAATATTCACCTGCCATCTAATTATCTGTCGGTTTGTCTTGGCTTCTACAGATGTGTGTAAATACATGAAAAAAATTTAGACTTACTATTTCAATCTACCTACTGTGATGTGGATATTATATGCAAGTTATTTTCTTTGTTCATGTGACAGCAACCCAAACTTTTCTCCAAATAAATTGATCATCAGATATGCTTAATGACCACAAGTATTTACGATATTAAGAGAGTAGGTATTTATTTGGACACAGTCACTCTATCACACATGATTCTTTAAAAAGTCCAAGGCATGTCCAGGATGGTAATATGACAACAAACTTAGTCAATAAAGTCACATGAAACCTCTGGTCATCTGTCAGAATGCCACAGTAATAGACAGAGAATTTATTGCTTATGTGTTTTATAGTTTAAATAATTGCTTGCAAAAATTAATTCTTAGTCCAGGTATGGTGTCACATTCCTATGTTAGTACTTAGGAAGTGGAGGCAGGAAGATCAGGAGTTCACGGCCAGCCTCAGCTAAGTAGAGAGTTTAAGGCTAGCCTAGGATACATGAGACACTGTCTCCATGAACAAAAACAGAATAAAATAAAAGAGCTTTTTTTATTTTATTGAGTAATAGATACAGTGATGACTCAGTACAAGCACAGGTGTAGTGGAGAAAACATGAGGCTGGCACACTGGTAACATAATAGTTACCCAGGACTGATGGGCAGCAGCAACCATAAACTGGGTAACAGCAAGCAGTCTAACGACAGGTGTTCTGCCAGTAACAGGGGTGACACAGAATTCCTAGCAGAGGCTGTGGTCACACACGTCCTAGTCAAAGTAGATGAAGCTACAAGAGACGACCATGGTGTCCTGGATAGAGGTTCTGGGTGGCTCTCTAAGGACGTGAGATTCTTCAGTACAGAGGTCTGCATCCTGCTACTAAGCTAGCATTGATGTTTATAATTGCTTTCTGACTAGGACCTTTCCAGACATTCTGGTCTTGACATAGCTGTCTATGCAATTATATTTGCTCTTTAAAGGGATGTTCTCGTGACTTTCATTGAATCAGCTCCTCATCTCTAGAAGCACAGGGTCCTTTTAAATTGCAGCATCCTTTCACCCAGCGCCTCCTGTTCTTTTTTGGGGGTGTCTCATTGTGGCACTGAGCATAGGATGAGCATTTAACTCTCTGTTCCTGAGTGAGACAAAAAACCATAATCTCTCCAGTTTGGATGATATTTAAGAGACACAAACATGGATACATCATACACAAAAGTCAGACCTCAGTATATAACAGCAAAATGACTGGTACCAAAAAATCACTGTGATACAGTCATAAATTATGAAAAAAAAATAAGAAATAAGACTGGTGGAAGGCACATTGTTTCAAATTGAACATTCAAAATAAAAGCATTCATTTTATTTCTTTTCCAAACCAATTTTCGATCCACTGGTCCTATTACAAATTACAGTTAGTGCAACTTTTCAAACTAATAAACCTTAAATTCTCCTTTATTCAATGCTGGAAAACAGTACATGGAAGACCTAATAGAGAAGATCAAAAGTGATGAGAAACTTGTCTCCTCTCAGAAGCCCCGCCCCCATGAAAGGACCCCTACCTGCTGCTTCCCTGACTGCCAACCCAAATACCACAGAGCTCCCTGCTATGGGACCTCCCACTAGAGACCAGCCTGTGTGACCAGAGGCTGCAGCACATGCTGTAGTCAGGCTCCCAGCCTCCACTCTAGATGCCTCTGTAACTATTGATGGCTGAGCAACCACTGCCAACCTTCCCTCTGGCTTCAGTCCTCAACTGCTGTGAACCATTCACGCTCCCGCAGCAGCAAAACTACTCCCTCAGCTTTGCTGAGAACACGTTGCTCACATTGAACCGTGCTTTCATTTTCGTTCCACGGTATCTGAAAGACCACTGAGAGCCCCGCTCAGCTTCACTCTTGTTTTATTCTTTATGGTCCATTGATCAGCCTAACAGATACTAGTCTGCTCCATGATCTGCTCCGTGATCTTTCTCCCTGAGAAAGTAGTGATCAGCTTTTGTCTCTAGGGAACTTTAAAATGGGCTGCATTTGACTCTCTAGAATAATCAATTTCAAAGTCTTTTTAGTACATGTGCGGTATAGTCTGCCAAGTTCCTAAACTTTTTTCAAATCATTGTGATTGTTTTCCTAACTAGTCTTTCCTATTAAAATTCTTCTTATTTTGTACTATGTGGTAAACTTTTTGCTTTGTTATCTATTCACAGCAGTTCATTCATAAAGACTTACTTAATTTTTAAAATTTATTATTTTTGTATGTTACTTGGCCGTTTTCCTTTGCGTCTCTTAATATTTTTTTCTTTATTCTGTATGTTTAGCAGTTTGATTATTATGTGGTGAGGGGACTTTTTTTTGGATCCAGCTTTTTGGAGCCCACTGCTTATGGTGGGACAACTTAGACAGCCTTGATGCAGGGGAAGGGGCTTGAACCTGCCTCAACTGAGTGGATCAGGCTCTGCTGACTCCCCACCGGAGGCCTTGCCTTGGAGGAAGTGGAAATGGGGGTTGGGATGAAGGTAAGGCTGGGAGGTGGGAGAAGGAAGGGGAGGGGGGAGAAGGAAGGGGAAGGAACCTGTGGTTGGTATGTAAAATGAATAGTAAATTTCTTAATTAAAAAAAAAACTTTAAAAATTGTTATTTTTAAATTTCGTATTTGTATGTACGTGTGTATATTATGTCATGAATGTCTCCCCAGCTTCACTATTCCCCTGCCGTTTTCTCCCTTCTCCCCTCTCCCCATCCCCTTTGTTCCCCGAGACTATTTCAGGTCATGATTTATGACTATATAAAGTCTAGGAACCACAAGTTAGAGAAAACACATAGTCTTTTTCTTTCAGAAACTGTCTTAAATTGCTTGGTATGATTGTCTACAGTTAAATCTATTTCTTTGGCAAAGGACATAGCTTTACTTTCCTTTACAGCTGAAAATAATTCCATTGCGTACATAGTCCACATTTTCCTTATCCATTTCTCTGTTGGTGGACAGCTACAGCTGGGTCTGTAACTCAGTCCTGCCCGAGCTCTGATGTGCAAGCATCTCGGTGGCACACGGACCTGATGTCCGGAAGGTGTATACTCAGGGTGGCACAGCTGGGTCACATGATAGATCTTGTTAGTTGAATTTTATGTTGATGAGTGTACTGCAGTCTCAGAGCGATACTGCAAGTTAAGCTGAGGAAACCCTGTCGTTCTCATTTTAACGATGGAAGAACCATTTTCTATGCATCCAGTAACTGACGGAGCAGAGCCAGTGCTGCTATCCTCTTACTCCAGGTCAAGGGCACTTTAAAAAAAGTATTTTCTACAAATAGATACATGACCCTTGTAAAGGAGGCAGAGAACAGATACGTGTTTTGTTTACTGTCCCTCAGAGTTTAACTAGACTTAGTGACCGTATGTGGGACTAAGCTGGTGGATTCACCAGTGGGTATGCAAATGGATACTCTTGGAATCCCTTGGTGGTCAATAGATC